CTAAAATTTTTGCCGATCACTTGTTCCAGCCAATCAGATGCCTGAAAAAGAACTATACGTACAGTACGTACTGTACGCTAAAATTTTTCAGGTATCATATAAATGGCACATCACTAGGTACGACCTTATAATAAAAAAAAAATTACGTAATAAACGGCCCTTCCCTAATCAGCGTTGTCATCTCACTTGACTGGCCAATGGATGCGGCCATTTGAAAGGGCAATAAATTTTTTTGGCCGATTTGGCATTACTTATAAATTAGCCAATTGGCTCTATTAACAATTAGTTTTATTATAAATCGATATACAAGTCGATCAGACTATCTGCACTTTTATTTATTACCGTTACTACTTCTAATCATCAGGCATGATTTTATTTAAATGAGCCGCCAGTAAATAAATATTTAAGATGTCACTATGACGAACTTAACCCTGAAAAAATTGTGATATTATGTACTAAATCACACGAGCACCGCCAAGAGAAAACCCATCAAGGACTTTCAAGAACACTGATCACATATTTGATCCAATGCGTAATTTGATTTTAAAAGTCTAAATAATGTACTTAGTAGAGTTGCAATTGAAACTAATTAATTTCATCAGGTAAGACTGGTGAAGCTGGTGCGCCGTGATGCAACTTAATAGCCGAATTGTGAAAAGGGTGAGATTGACATTGGTGAAACTGGTGATATTGGTGAAACTGTGATATTGGTAAAATTCGATAAAAATATTTTATTTTTAAATTGGCATGAATGAGATAGAATTTAAAAGCCATTTATATAATAGTAAATTTTTATAAATTTAATTAGACTATATAGATCTTATTAATTTTAAATAATTTTTTATTTAATCTACACAAACATAATGAACTTAGAGACTATTTATAATAGCAGTTAAATGCAAATAAAAATTTTATAATAGAAGTTAATTTACAAATTTTAATCATTTTTAAAATAAGATAGTACTAAGTATTACCTTATTGGTAGAAAATGAGGTTTAATATAAATGCATTATGTATCTATTTACTAGTTCTGTTAGTATTACTAGTGCCCACACATATCGTCAGTTCACCAGTACTACCGGTATCATCAGTATCACCAGTACCACCAGTATCACCAGTATTACCTAGTGAGTGAAAATTGGTGCACCTTTGAAGATTAGTTTTACCTACAACTTTGGTACTTAGAAAACTTTAGTACTATATTATAATTATCAAATACTAGGTATAAAGTAAATGTATATTAACTTTTATCTTAAGAAAATAAGAAAACAACGGATTACACATCACTTTTTTTAAATACAAGTTATGTAACATAACGAAGGAACAAATATCCTAAATTTTCACATTATTAAACTATTTATGCTTCATATTCATAGAGATTTACATGGTGAAAAATATTCGCTTATATGAATAATACTTAAACTGGTGAAAACGTAATAGTTTTTTGTATACTAGAACTATTATTGAAAATCATCATCACTTTTAAATACATATTGACCTGAAATATCCTCAATTTAATACTCATCAAAGTTGCAAAGGTCAATAATTAAGTTTTTCTTTTATTTGATATTAATTTAAAAATTAACTCACATACGATCGAAATAAACATAAATTTAAATGTTTAATATGTGCAAATTCCGAAAGAAAATCAAAAATTCTTTTAAAGAATTTGTAGTTCATTTTGTAAATCTAGAGGTTTATTGATTTCTACAAAAGCACAATTAAATAAAGCACCGTAATCTTGTTCATAATTTAGATATTTACGTAAACAAACTCTGTTTGTGTTAAGTCGGAGTAATTACAATATATTAGTCCGTAATTTTGGAGAATAAATCAATATTAATATGTTGTTTGTGTAATTATGGAGGCTTCAAATATATACCGTTACAGTTTTGAATTCGTACAGTCAAAATAAATCCAGATATAAACTGTTACCTATATACGTATAGTGAATTACCTTTGTGTGATGTTATGTCATTTCATATAAACTTCTTCACCCTGCAAAAAATCAAAAAATCAAAACAATTAAAAATTATTTGTGATTGATATATGTATTATTCAATTATTTTGGTATAATATTCCGTTACCGTAAAGTCCCGAATATAAGAAATCCCTGATAAGTATTTCAAAGTTAAAAAAATCAGTCTTAGAGGGTTGCTAATATTCGGAACTTACTATATACGTAAAAATAAGTTTGTAATCCAAACCATTTCATTCTGAATAAAGGAATTGAATTCATTTGACATTCAGTTAGGGTTCAACATAAATAGTCCAATTAGGTGTTTCTCTTTATTAATCACCCAAATTGCTAAGGATATAAACCGTGACTTTATACGTATTAAGGAGTTCTTTGCGTAATCTAAAGCTCCAATAACCCTAATTACACGGATCAAGTCATCTCACGCCTCAGTCGAAGCCATCCATTATTAGGGATCAATGGTTGATTGTTACTAGTGTGCTGCCATTTACTTTTCACTTTCCAAATGAGGTAGGGCGCCTTAAGGCGGTAAAAGTATACCCACAATCTTTTTTGGTGCACTCAGTAAATAATTTGATGGATCTTCGGCAGTGTAAGTTTCTTGATACTTTTCACACATATTCCGAATTTCATCTGTTCCATAACAATTACCACTTTTGTAACGTACGCACGTATTCTAGATGATATTTCAAAATACGTAGAACCCATAATTTCATCCAAATTTCACAAAATATTTACTGCATCACAAAACTTAATATAATTTTTTCTACATCGAATATTTAGCGCCATCTGCGGGAAAGAAAAACAAATTAAGCAAGATATGAAACTTATTTTTAATATAGAATAAAATAAAGCAATACGGCAAATTTTATTATTTTTATAAAAAAACAAACTGTGGAACTAATACGTATTATAGAGATTTAATCGTAACGTAACTGATTTTGTTCGCGTGTTACTGTACTACTTTCACCTCCATTCCGCTATATCTGTACATAGCGATAATAACATATTGCACAAAGTTACACGAATTGATTGCATGAAATGAATCATGGTATCTCGTTATCTAACAATTAGGTTTTTTCAGTAAGACGAAATGAATGGTGTATCAAAATTCATCACGAGATATCACGATGTGTTATAGTTTTATGTAACATATATAAATTTAGAAGTCATGTATTGGTATTTCCCTAATGTTGCTCAGAACTTCATTGATATATAAAGATAATGCTCAAAGATCAATCCCACAATATGAAGACATATTCGTAAGATAAAAAAACTGGATACACTAACTTTCTTAAATTTAATAACTTTTAACCAAATGATATAAATAGAAATTATCATCATTATAATTATAGAAATATCAAATATTACGTATTTTGTATACTATTGCGTGCTTTCGAAAAGTACTTTACTGTACGCACACCTAGTTCTATGAAAAATTAAAATTGTTCTACGTTACATAGGCAAAATAAAAATTTATTATCTTTAATAAGTTAAATTTTTGATGCTTTTATATAAGAGTTTTATTATTATTCTGTTTGAAATTTTTTTATAATTTCTAATGTATCGATATTTTTTTTCACCAAGTGCCATGTATGGCGCAAAAGATATCATCGTTGTAATAGATAATGTTAAAGTTTTAGTAAAATTAGCAAATGATTTCAGTTTATGCAAAGTTAGAAGAATACTTGAGGCAAATGATGTAACAAGAATGACAGATTCCTTTTATTTTACAAAAAATGGTGCGTTAATTAATATTAGTAATGAAAATGAATATTTGTTAAGTGATATATTAGATGAAAAAAATATGATCTATCTTGAAAGAGATTCTCGACCAAATTGGAGAGCGCTAGTGAGGAAATTTAGTCTTGAAAATGGTCGTAATTATGATGATGATAAAGATAGAGTAGCCGAAAAAAAACTTTTTGTTCTTGAAGATTGTGAATTTAGTATACTTGAACCTGACGAATATAATTTTCATACCAAGACAATTTCTTCAATTGATGATTTATCTAAAAATGAGAATTTAATTTTTAAAAACACTCAATTAGGCATTCCAAATACTGTAAACTTTGATTTTTCAATTGATCCACAAAATATTCGACCTTATAATTCCGAAGAAATATCTTCAAGGTTTAAATTCAAAAATATTGTCAAAGCAATATTATCTTTTAAAATAAAAGATATTAGACTCACCTATGAATTTATCATTGCCGTAAAGAGAGCTCTAAATTCGCAAGACCTTAATATATTAAAACACGCCATTGAAAAGTTTGGTCAATTTATTCCTACAGTGATTATATTTGGTGGAAGACTTCATTACAAGGTTACTACATGCACAGGAATTTACAGACAAGGTAGAAACGAAAGCGCCATACAACTCCAAGATTCATTAATTTTTGGTGGCGATAAGATAAAAATAATTCTGGGTGAAGAGGACGATTGGATAACTTCATTACAAGAATTTAAACTTTGGGATATAATCGAATTTCGTAATCCTGTGAGCATATTTGAATTCTTACCTAATGACCTAAAAGATAGGATTAGAGAATTAATTGGGAAGACGATTATTTATTCTAATATTCAAGATTACGACTTTAAAATACATGATTATAATGATAGAAGTAATATTGTCGACTTGAAGATGCCCAAAAATATCGGTTCCATTTTTTCAAATAAAGACGTTGATCCACAAGTTTTTGCTACAGTGTCAAACATTGAAGACGATGACAACATCTTCACTTGTATGTTATATACCCCTTCGCATTCGTCTATTCCTAAAGTTATTATTAATTGTACGAGATATAAATCTAATCAACAAAAAGTACATCGTGTCAAGATTAAATGGATCGTTGTTGGATATGACTTAAGCTTTAATTCAATTTTTAATCCAGAACACATACATCTTCAAAGCTCTACAAAACGTTGTCATTATAATGATAATACTTTACATGAAGTACTTAATATACGTACAGAGTACTCCATGGTACTATTTGGCATACCTGTGGTATTAGAATGGAATCCTTCTTTTAAATTTTCTATAATTGGCCATCATTTTAACAGACATGATGATAAAGTTTGCATAAATCTTTATGGTTATGATTTAAATGAGAAGAAATATTTTACTCGTTTTTTATCTAATTTTAAATTCAATCTTTTATACACGAAACATCCAAATCCAGATATATTTAGTTACTTTAAAGTGGATAAAGATTTATCTCTAGAAAAGATTTTCGAAGCAGATAATAATTTATTTTTAAACGGGACAAGCAATGTCCATAATACTGAATTTATTAGTTTGTACAAAGAAGGTTACAATCAATCCGACCCGGGATTTATTAGCAGAAAAAATGGACACTTTTTTATTAAACAACCTGATGGGCATATTTCTCAAGATCATTTTTTTGTAGCAGTCTTTAATCCTGAATTTAAAGTCCAAGAAACTGAGAATGAAAACCAAATAATAATTGAGGGCGAGCATGAAATCACAAGTTGGGATTTTCCAATTTTTATTATATAAAAATCGATTTGTACTTTTTACGATATGTCACACTCATATGATTTTATTGTGAAATGATTAGGATTACGTTTTCTTTAATTCTGAGATTTTTTTTTTATAAAAAAATATATATATAAATTATAGATTTAATGGACTCAAGCATATTGAGAAAGTTGTAGTCGATAAATTAATAAAATTGATAATTTTAAAAATTTTAAATTTAAATGTAATAAGTAAAATGTTTGCCAAAGATGTACTGTACTTGAAAAATCTTGTATTCAAAAGACAAAATTTGTAGCGTTATTTAAGTTAGGTAACGAAGCTACTGTATATGTAGATTTGAAGTTAAATTGATTAAATTTGAAAACTACGGCATAATACTTTATTACTTGGATTTTTCTAAATAATATTCAATTTTTTTTTATTTTTTATTATTTTATTATTTATTTTTATTATTTTTTATTTAGCTTAAAAAAATCAAACTTATTTCAATGTTGCTCTTTATCAATTATATTATTTTGTAAGTTTTTTTTTTTATAAAAATTTTTGGCATGTTTCACTGGGTGCGCGATATACCATGTAAAACAAAATTATATGTGAACATATAATAAAATTTATTATGTAATGAATTTTTTTCAGATAACGATCGATAGAAATGATTTTATAATTATTACAAATTTTTAAATAGATGTACAGCCTAACGGTTCGATAGTTTTGAATAAAATTTCGCAAAGACTAGTATTATGTCTCTACGAACAAAGCTATAGATTTATTTCATTTACTTAAATATGAAAAACTGTAATATGCTATGTGTATTTTCTTAAAGAAAGTGTAAAAAGAAAGGACATAATTTAGTTTCGTTTTTAAAGAAATAACTTTGTTTGTAGGGACATATTATTAGTCTTTACGAAATTTTATCCAGAACTATCGAACCGTTAGGGCTGTACATCTATTTAAAACTTTGTATTAATTTATAAACTTGTTGTCTGAAAAATATTTCATTAATATATGTCAACATATTTTTTTGTTTTACATAGTATACCGCACCGAGTCAATTTCTATATATTTCTATAAATAATTTTATCTTTAAATCAAATTGTATAATTGAAGTTACGTTGACAGTCCTCAAAATTGGTGAGTCTGTCGCTAGGACGATTGTAGATTCGTGTAACCGTAATTTAGGTTACATTGGGTCAAAAAAGACGTGTTATATTTGGCGAGTGATTAATGAATGAATGTAGTTTATAATTTTACTTTATTATTTTTTTGTAAAGCGTACTATCGTTTCGAAGGGCCAGAAGGCCTTATTTATAATTGTGAACTCAACTATTTACATTACAAGAATCATCAATATTTGGGGGTTTCAAAGTTAACAAATAAGTGACGCATTTCGAAAATAAATAGGATTTTTTACTATGTTGAATTATAAATCGGAAAAATAAAATAAGTTTCTCTGATTTTAACTTCGAAACCCCCTAATACTAGTATAACCAATATCGGCCCTATAGCCAGTATTATTAAGTTTTAACCATTTCTCCCAGATTATCCTATTACTCAAGGTCACGAGGGCACGTGCCTGCCATCAGGTCACGTTTCCGGTTTCACAACGTATACGTATAGGTTATCATAAAACCGATTTACTATTAAACCGATTTATTATTAGAACCGATTGACTATTAAAACCGATTAGCCCGAATTTAAAGTCGAATTATAGTAACCAGTTCCAACCTCTAGTTTTACTATCTATTGCGCTTACAGGCTTATGTAAAAATTATTTGAATCATACCAATGCTAAATTGTTTTCTTAAAAATTTTAAAAATTCTAACAAAGTAAATTTCAGTTTCATTTGACTCAGATCAACTTGATAAATCAATATTAAATTTATATTGGAATGTTATTGCGATTATTTTGAATTAAAGTATGGTCTGAATTAAGCTTAATTTTGGCCATTATCTGAAATTATTCTTTGGTATAACTTCGAGGTTATATAGTATATTTTTTGTTTTTAAATATTTTAGTCGTGACTTTATGACTGATATGCCAGAATTATGGAATCATTCTTTATAGTTGTAATCTAATTTTTTATATTCATTTACATTATATGTCATAATCGATGTTAATGTAAATCTTATTCTATTTTTGTTGGAACTTTCTTTTTCAATATGCAAAATCCTCAGTTCTTGACTTGTCTCGAAGATAAAATTTACTTTTACATGACTTTTAGTATGCTATTTTGCAACGTTATTTTTGCGACGCAAGTATTTGATCCAAAATTAATCATCTTTTAGTGTTACGAGAAAATAGAATATTATGCATTGTTGGCCATTTATTGTACATTAGGTAAAAATATGGCCTAGTGCTTAAAAATTTGTATTCTTCATATCTTTGTTTTAAAACCGCGCTTTATAGTTTTTATTGCCGTTTTTTTCGTACTGTGAAAAAAAGTTTTCGATGTATTTTTTAATTTCAGATATTGGTCAATAAAAAAAATATAAGATTCAAAAAGTTTCTTATATTGCAGTATTATCCCATTTTAGCAGATGCCTGAAAACAAAGAAATGCTCTATGTTCATCTTTTTAAACCCAAATCCATTTTGATAGCAATATCCAACATTACATATTCCTTCTGAATTACCCATCTCTGCTGATTTCTGATAATAAAAGAATGCCTTTTGTCTATCCTTCTCAACGCCAATTCCATTTTTATAATAATGCCCCAAATTACATACTCCTGATTGTTGGTAATAATTAAATGCATTAGATTTATCCTTTTCAACCCCAATTCCGTTTTCATAACGGTAACCGACTTGAAATATTCCTTTAGAATTACCCTTATCTGCTGATTTTTGATAATAAGTAAATGCCATATATTCATCTTTTTCAACTCCAATTCCATTTTCATATCGGCAGATTTTTTATAACAATTAAATGCCTTAGATTCATCTTTTTCAACTACAACCCCATATTGATAAAAGTAACCAAGAATAAATGTCCCTTTAAGATGCTCCAAATCTGCAGATTTTTGATAAAACATAAACGCCTTACGTTCATTCTTTTCAACTCCAATTCCTTTGTCATAGCAATAACAACATTGTTCATTCCAAGAGCATGATTTTAGATACTAAATAAACGCCATATGCTCATCTTTTTTAACTCCAATTCCTTTTTAACAACAATGAACAAAATTATCCATTCCTGGAGCGTAACCCATATCGGCAGATTTTTTGTAATAAATGAATGCCTTACTTTCGTCCTTTTCAATTCCTATTCCTTCATCATAACAATGACCGACATTATATATTCCAGCAGCATAACCCATATCTGCAGATTTTTTATAATAGATGAATGCTTTAAGTTCATCTTTATCAACTCCAATTCCTTTATTATAACAATAACCAACATTATTCATTCCACGTGCATTACCCATATCCGCAGATTTTTGATAATAAATAAACGCTTTATGTTCATTTATTTCAGCTCCAATTCCATTTTGGTAGCAATAACCAACATTATTCATTCCAAAAGCATGATTCATATCAGCACATTTTTGATAACAATTAAATGCCAGATAATTATCCTTTTTAATTCCAATTCCGTTTTCATAACAGAAACCAAGCGCACATATTCCGTCAGCATTCTTCATATCCGCAGATTTTTGGTAATATAAAAATGCCATATTGTCATCCTTTTCAACCCCAATTCCATTTTGATAACAATACCCAACTTTATATATTCCTTCGGAATCTCCCATCTCTGCTGATTTTTGATAACAAGTATATACTAAAAATTGATCTTTTTCAGTTCCTATTCCATTTTCATAACAACATCCAAGCTTATTCATTGAAGCAGTATTTCCCATTCTTGCTGATTTTTGATATTGAATAAACGCTACAGTTTCATTCTTTTCAACTCCAATATTATTTTGATAACAATATCCTAGATTATAAATTGCAATTGTATTTCCCATATCAGCAGATATTTTATAACAATTGAATGCCTTAAATTCATCTTTATCAACACCAATTCCATGTTGATAATAATATCCGACGTTAAGAATTCCATTAGAATTCCCCATTTCTGCAGATTTTTGATAATATATGAATGCTTTATGTTCATCCTTTTCAACTCCAATTCCATTCTGATAGCAATGTCCAACATTATAAATTCCGTTAACATTCATCATCTCTGCAGATTTTTGATAATAAATGAATGCTTTATATTCGTCCTTTTCAATTCCAATTCCATTTGCACAACAATAGCCAACTTGAAATGATCCTTTAGAATCACCCATTTCTGCAGATTTTTGATAATAAAAGAATGCTTTACATTCATCCTTTTCAACTCCAATTCCATTTTGATAACAATTTCCAACACTAAAAGTTCCTTCGGAATCACCCATATCTGCTGATTTTAGGTAATGAGTGAATGCCTTATGTTCATTCTTTGTAACTACAATTCCATTCGCATAAAAATATCCAACTTGAAATAATCCTTTAGGATCACCTTTAATTGCTAATTTTTGATAATTAAGGAATGCCATACGTATATCCTTATTAACTCCAATTCCATTTTCATAACAATAACCAACTTGAAATGCTCCCCTAGAATCACCTTTACTATCAGATAATTTATAATATTGGAATGCTGCTTTTTCATCCTTTCTAACTCCAATTCCATTTGCATAACAATAGCCGACTTGAAATGCTGCATCAGCGAACCATTCTGCCGATTTTTTATAATAAATGAATGCCTTATTTTCGTCCTTTTCAATTCCAATTCCATTTTGATAACAACGTCCAACATTATATGTTCCGCTAGTATACCCCATATCTGCAGATTTTTGGTAATAAATAAATGCTTTGTATTCATCTTTTTCAGCACCAATTCCATTTTCATAATTATTAGCGACTTGAATTGCTCCATTATTGTCACCCATATCTGCTGCTTTTTTATAATTAATGAATGCTTTAAATTCATCCTTTCCAACTCCAATTCCTTTTGTATAACAATGACCGACTTG